TAGGGCTGGTTCAGGTTTATAGTTAGGGCTGGTTCAGGTTTATAGTTGGGGCTGGATCAGGTTTATAGTTGGGGCTGGTTGAGGTTTATAGTTATAGAATGGTAAAGATTGTTACGTTACATGTATTTATGTATTAGCAAACACTAAGGGTTACCAGGGAAATGGAGTGAACGGCTTGTGAGAAGACTTTTGATTTTGGTTGAAAAAATACAAATTAATGCTCTTATTGTTTTTTCTTTGGCATGTGATCACTTCCTAAAAATGAGTCTAAATATGTAGGGTATCACAATAATAGTCATGTATGCTTTAGTCTTTGATAATAAACCTGAAATGATTTGATGTGATTTTCTTTAATCTGTTGAGAGACAATGATACTCGATCACTTTGTTAATGTTGTGACCAGAAACTTATGGTTTCATATTCTGCTGTCCATGAAAAAACCAAAGAATGAACACGTTATTTTAACTTAAAACCACCATCAGTACTGGCGCCTCTCTGGACGAGCAGAGCTGAAAGTTTTGCAGCTCATCAACTCCTCCTCCTCCTCCTCCTCCTCCTCCTGCATCTCCTCCTCCTCCTCCACCACCTCCTGCATCTCCTCCTACCTTCATGGGCTTCAGATCTCCATCGATCTCCACGGCAACCATCTTCTTGTACCAGGAAGCTGCCAGGTTCCTCTTAACATTTAAGTGCAGGTTCACTGGTTCCAGTAGCTCGGTGGTAGGTCGACCTGACGCCAGCTCCATACAGGTCCTGATAGACAACCAGAGTTTAACAATGCTTATTGAGTAATCATTATTAGGTCTGAATCTGAATCGACTAACTGACCTGGAGAGTTTGAGTTGGGTCAGCTCGACGTCCACGTTGTCGATGACAGCCGGCAGCGGGCATCCATCAACGGGCAGCAGAGAGAAGCTGTTTCCCACTGTGATCAGACCCAGGTCCATCACAAGTGCATCGTGGGAGGTGGAGGACTGGGGGATGATGATGAGCGGAGCTTTCAGCTTGATGTCGATGGACAGACGGAAGCTCTTCTGGGCAAAGTCACGGACGCTGGACGCCGCTTTCTCTGCCGCCTGAGCCGTTGCGGCGCTCAGAGCTTCTTTAGCTGTTTGGAAGTTGTTGGTAAAATTCTGAAAGAAAAGACATAAAACAAAAATAAAGAGTTTATTTAGGAGACAGTGGATCTCTATGAGAGAAAACGGTTATTGACTCCTAAATGTAAATCCAGGATTAAAAGTAAAAAAAAAAATGTATTGAAAAATATCTTTGTTGACCAAAAACAAAATGAATATCAACAATAAGACAAGTCTGGCTCGGTAAAAAGAGTTGAGTAAATACATAAAACTTAATTTTATCAACAGTGTGAAACTCACCAGCAGAGACATGATGAACTTGTGCAGGTAAACCACCTGGATGCAGCCCACGTTCAGCTTGACTCTGCCGTCAGTTTTGGAGGTGTCGGCGTAACCGGTGCCCTCTGTGGCGTTAGGAGTGAGACTCATGGTGAAGCTGAACACCTCATCACCCACGATGGAGATCGCCTGAAGGACAAAAACATCAGTGATATAGGGTAGTCCAGCATCGTCTGAGTATGTCAACTGCAGTCTAAGGTAGTCCAGGGTAGTCTGAGGGAGTCTAGGGTAGTATGAGGGAGTCCAGGGTAGTCTGAGGTAATCCAGGGTAGTCTGAGGGAGTCCAGGGTAGTCTGAGGGAGTCCAGGGTAGTCTGAGGTAATCCAGGGTAGTCTGAGGTAATCCAGGGTAGTCTGAGGTAATCCAGGGTAGTATGAGGTAGTCTGGGGTAGTATAATAATAATAATAATAATACATTTTATTTATATAGCGCTTTAAAAGGCACTCAAAGACACTTTACATGTTAAAAACAGAAACAATAGAAGCATTTATAATAAGAACAAAATATACGACATAACAGTAAGAAAAAAAATAAAATAAACATGAAAAGAAAGAAAGAAAAACATACATGACTGACTTTAGAGGTTAAAAGCAGATTTGAATAGGTGAGCTTTAAGTGCAGTTTTGAAAGTGGCGAGTGACGAAGAATGTCTGAGGTGTTGGGGCAGGGAGTTCCAGAGGGAGGGGGCAGCAACGGAGAAGGCCCTGTCCCCCCAGGTCCAATGCTTGGACAGAGTAGGGGGGGTAAGGAGGTTGGCGTCGGCAGATCTGAGGTTGCGGTTGGGAGTGTGATGGTGCAGGAGGTCCGAAAGGTATGAAGGGGCAAGGTTATGGAGGGCTTTGTAAGTGATGAGGAGGATCTTGAACTGGATTCTTTGCTGTATGGGGAGCCAGTGGAGGTTTTGAAGGACTGGGGTGATGTGGTCTCTGGTGCGGGAGTGGGAGAGCAGACGGGCAGCTGAGTTCTGAATGTATTGTAGTTTATTGATGATTTTGGTGGGTGAGCCGTACAGGATGCTGTTGCAGTAGACCTGTCGAGAGGTGATGAAGGTGTGGATGAGTGTTTCAGCGGCTGCGGAGGAGAGGGAGGGACGGAGACGGGCGATGTTTTTGAGATGAAAGAAGGCGGTTTTTGTGATGTGATTGACGTGGTGTTCATATGAGAGAGTTTGATCGAAAATGATCCCGAGGTTACGGACATGTGTGGAGGCAGGAACAGTGGTGCCATCGATGCAGAGGGAGAAGTTGTGGTGGGAATTGTTTAATGATTTGGGGCCGATGATGAGTATGAGGTAGTCCAGGGTAGTATGAGGTAGTCCAGCGTAGTCTGAGGGAGTTTACTGGAGTCTTGGCGTCCAGGGTGGTGTGTGTCAATCCAAGGTAGTCTCAGAGAGTCTATGGTAGTATGAGGTAGTCCAGGGTAGTATGAGGAAGTCCAGAGTAGTCTGAGGGATTTCATGGTGATTTGAAAGAGTATTGTGGTCATATGAGGTAATCCATGGTAGTCTGAAGGAGTCTCGGGTAGTATGAGGGAGTCCAGGGTTGTATGAGGGAGTCCATGGTAGTCTGAAGGAGTCTATGGTAGTATGAGGTAGTCCAGGGTAGTCTGAAGGAGTCTATGGTAGTATGAGGTAGTCCAGGGTAGTCTAGGGTAGTATGAGGTAGTCCAGGGTAGTATGAGGTAGTACAGGGTAGTCTGAGGGATTTCATGGTGATTTGAAAGAGTATAGTGGTCATATGAGGTAATCCATGGTAGTCTGAAGGAGTCTAGGGTAGTCTGAATGAGTTCATGGTGATCTGAGGGATTCTGACTGACCTTCTTGTGGATGCTTTTGGGATCAACGTTGAGGACGATGAAATCTCTCAGGCGGGCTGATATATGAGTTTGTGTTCCTTGCATCAGCAAAGAGCCATTAATACCTGAAGGACACATCACAACTGGGTAAATAAGAGTTTGTGTAGACGAATGAGAGCAGACAAAAACAAACAAAAAAACAGATGTGATCCGGTACCTTGGATCTTGATGTCGGCCATATTGCAGCTCTGGTCGCACACAAGAACGTTGAAGGCTCCCAGCATCATCATCACCTTCAGGTCGATGATGTCACTTTTGGCAGGTGACACCGGAGCGGCTGACAGGGAAAAAAAGTCTAAAGAGGTCAGAACTCCAGCAACACTTGTAGTTTAAAGAATACATTTAATGTGTTTAAACACACTTTAGTTAAAGACTTTGAGGAGGATGTTCAGACTGTTGGACCTTTTTTCTCACTATACTTGTAGCTCATTGTGTGTGTGTGTGTGTGTTACACTGACTGGACTTGGCAGACACTGTCTTGTCCTCCGTCTTCAGTCTGATCTCTCTCTCTGGAGACGCCAGGCTGCCAGACGACAGCGCCGCCGACAGGAAGTTGATGGCCGACAGCAGAGCCTCAGTGTGGAGCATGAGGTCGAGAGAGGTGAAAGTCACCTGGAGAGAGAGAGAGAGAGAGAGAGAGACAGAGAGAGAGAGAGAGAGAGAGAGAGAGAGAGAGAGAGAGTAAATCATATCAGGAGTGTCCAATAAGAACCCACACAATATTAACTGACATGATCAGAGGAAGCTTCAATCACCAACACACGGACTGATTATCAGTGTTTGTGTGGATGGACTGTGACTCACGGTGATCATCTGCTCTGTGTTTTTGTAGACTGAGGAGAAGTTCGGCCCCGAGCGGTCAGCCTGAGGAAACACAGCCAAACAAACAGGAAGTTCAAGTTGCTCTTAGTTTTGCTCTGAGGATGTCACGATAACAGACGTTTAGTAGTTTGATAATGATTCCAGGGATTCCTCGATTCTCGATACACAATTCGATGACATCTCAACAGTTGATCAGATAACATGCGAGTTCACCTTGAAATACTGCACTTTGAGCAGCTCAGCTCCAGACTCCACAGAGGAGCTGATGAGACACAGCGGCTCACCACTGGAGTCTGAAACAAATAAATGTACATGAATACCACTAACACCATGGAAAACAATGTAGTTCACCATAGACAACACTACAGTACAGTACTGTACATAGAAAAGACCATAACAACCCTTCCTCCACAGAGGCTCTGACCTTTGAACTCCAGACACTTCATGGTGATCTTGTCAATAAACGTTGTGGCGCACATGTCGTACTTCCTGACTTTGGTGTTGATGCCCAGGTGAGCGACGTGAAACACCAGGAAAGGTGACTCCTCCTGCTCTCTGGGCTTCTTCAGGGTCAGCAATACCTGGAGGAGCAGACAGGAAGCAGAATCAGAACGCCGCCATGTTGGAGGAACAATCCGACAAAGAATAAAGTTGATCAGGACATTTTGTAGATTTGTAGACTTCGTACCTCTTTGATTTCAAAGTTCAGAAGAACGTTGACGGTGTTTTCATTCATGCCTCCGTTGGTGGCGGCCGGCACACCGTCAGATCCCGTCTGTGACGATGACACCACCTCCACCTGCTGCTCAGCAAGATCTGCCTTCTCTGATTGGTTAAAGGGGATAATAACCAGGTTAGGCTCCACCCGTGAACTCGTTAATAGTGTCGATGCAGGTGAAACACACGACGGGGAGAGTTTGCATCAGATTTCCCATCATGCACTGAGTGAAGTTACCTTGAGCCACCTGTCTCTTCAGGTCCATGCTGTGCTCTTTACTCCCCTCCCCGATGTTCTCCACCAGGATCTTCATCAGCACACCGAGGTCTTCTTGTCCCAGACTCATCTGAACAAACAGTGGTTAAATGTCTCTTAAAGAGACATTGTCTCGCCTTCAACAACAACAACACATGAGAGACCTACGTTGAGGGACCGGAGGACTCCCTGGACCTGGACTCCGGGGATCTCGGTGAACCAGGAAGCAGCCAGGTTCCTGGTGACGAGCAGCTCCAGGTTGAGTGGCTGGAGGATCTCGATGTCGTGGTGAGAAGCGTCTTGTCTCAGCGTGGTTCTAAAAAAAGGAGACTTCCTGTTTGTGTGTTCAAGGACGCTCAGAAACAGGAAAAACACCAAAACTCTGAATGATCAGAATACCTGGAGAGCTTCAGCTGAGTCAGCTTGACGTCCATCTTCTCCACCACCACCGGCAGAGAGAAACCCTCGGCGGGCAGCAGGGAGAAGCTGTTCCCCACCGTGATCAGACCCAGGTCCACCACCACGGCATTCTGGGAAGTGGAGGACTCGGGGATGATGATGAGTGGGGCCTTCAGCTTGATGTCCGTGGACAGACGGAAGCTCTTCTGGGCGAAGCCCCGGACGCTGGACGCCGCCTTCTCCGCCGCCTGAGCCGTGGCGGCGCTCAGAGCTTCTTTGGCCGTCTGGAAGTTATCGACGAACATCTGGAGGAAACAAATGAACGAATCAGGAGGTGAGACGACAACAAACAACGACACGATGAAAGACTCGATGTGAGGTGTTCACTGCCCGCACGGAGAGCACGCCATCATTTCTGTTTCATAAACCTTCAGATTGATAGTATGAAGCTCAGAGTCATGACAGATATGTTTCTGTATTTACATGAATCTATAATACAAAGAAAATCTTACATATATATATATATATTATTAAAGGTAATATTTGTAAGAATATTTATTTTTGTTTAGTTTTTGAAACAAAAATGAAGCTTCAAGGAGTTCAGAACCGTTGGTCACGGAGGGAAGTGAGGTCACACAGGCAGAGGTCATGTGACTGACGTGGGGGGGTTATGATGGTGGCTGAGTGAGTTAGCATAGCACTTATGGAGGAAGCGATAACTGTCACATGCTGTGCATGAAATACATTTCCTGTATCCGTCCATCAACCTGTCAGCGTCCAACAAACACAGCGCTTGTTTCAGTGTTCTCTGCGGCCCACACGGGTGGAGATTAAAGCTTTTAAGACTTGGTTTTTCGGGGTTTTGTTGCTGTTTTTTTTTCTCCAGGTTCAGATGTGATGATTTCTGCCTCAGACACTGTGATGCATTTGTCAAACTGACTGACGAGGATGGAGCAGATTACAGCTGCAAAGTCTCGTGTTTTTGCACGAAGATTAAAAAAACAAACAAAAATAAAACAGGATTCTGTCAGATGAGATGTTCCTTTACTTTAAATACTTTAAATACTTTAATACTAATCTACAGTGTAAAATAGAGCTGCATGGATTTTGTGAAAATAAATAACACAGTAATGAAATATGAAATTTCGATAGATAAATAATATCATAAATATAACAGTAATTTATTATAATAAATTACTATTATATTTATTATAATAAATTATTATAATGTATAATAATGTATAATTATAATATAATTTTAAAATAAAATAATTAATGAATTATAAACTATAAATAAATTGTATATTATTTTATTATAATTAATTATGTAATAATAAATACAGATATCGATCTGAATTAATAAAAACAGCGACAGCTAAAATGAACAAAATGATTGTTAATGAGAGATCTCGTCTTTGTTCTGTTATGTTTTAGCGTTTGTTCCGTGTTAGGAACCAGCAGCACGTGTAGTTGATGCTGGTCAGTATAGAACCAGCAG